GTAAACTACTGTCTGAAAGCTGGCTCCTGTTCCCTTCTAAACTCATGCTCAGGGATGGATGGAAGCAGCCAGAAAAGCCAGCAAGTGAAATCGAGGCTGAAAAAAATTTAATTAGCAAGTGGAATGGAGCCAAAGAGATTGAATGGTGGAAAATCAGATATCCATCAGGTGAATATTTTAGTGATCACAGGGCTTTTTGAAAGATACCAAACAGCATACAAGATCAAATTTATATTATACAGAGGAAACCCTCATAACCCCTTCCAGCACAATATCTTGCCCTAGGAACCATGTTGGCCTAAGACTGCAGTGGAGAGGCCCTGTCTAGCACTGCACAGATCCATGTGCATTGCAGGAAACAAAACAACACACAGAAGGGAAGGAGCTGGGCAGCTCTGGGAAAGGGAGAAGGAAGTTTCTTTGGAGGTAACCAACAACTGTTGCCAGACAGGTATCGGCTGAAGTCATTCTTGTTCTCAGTCACAGAATTTCATAGGGGTCTATTAGTGAATTTGATCATCTCTCTACAAAAGATATAAAGAAAAAATACACAGACAGACTCTGGATGGCAGTAATTTTGTCAGGGGTTGCCACTCCGTGCATTTTACCATTCATTTCATATGCTGTATATTTGCATTCATCTAAATAATGGTTAATAAGCCTTTTAATGACTATTTCTGAAGCAAAAAGGACAAAGTACACTTGACAGATTTTACTGAGGATATAACTCTGGGATAAGACTGTGCTTCACATGGATAATGTGCTCAGTGTGGTGCCAGCACCGCTTCTAATGTCTGCTAGCTACCGTCCCTTGAGTCTTACACCCTATTTCCTTGTAGCGGATCAGCTACCACATTGACATTGCGTGAAATCTCCTGAGTTACTTGGTTGGCTGCACAAACTCCGTTGAAGTTTGTATCATATAGAAAGACCAACCATATAATCCTAATGATCCTGTCTTGTCTCGAAATGCACAATGACTTGGTAAAGGAATAAAACATATCAGGCATCAAAGTTAGACACATTTCCTAAATACAGAATGGGTTGTCATTTTATGGTTTTAAAACCTAAGGCAGAATAACCTCCTAAGGGATAGCTAGGCTCTCTCATGTTTCTGTTATGTCTGTTTCCAGGTGGTGCAATAGTTTGGATTTCATAATTTACCCCAAGAACCCAGAGTGTAAATATCAGTCAATATAATGAGATTAAGGCAAGAAAGAACAGGCAGCACATGCTATGTGCCTGTGGGTTCGTATCCAAATTTGTATCTGTGAAACCTGCCTTGACTCAAGTACAACACAAAAGCTGCCTGTGCAGCTCAGAATTCCTTAGAAGTCCTAAATGAACACAGCTGGTGTGCCCTGCCAAAGAAAAAGGCAGGTGGCTTCTCTTTACATAAAATACTTTTCCTGCAGACCAAATGCAACAATAGTTGGCAGATTTCACTGAAGTACAAGAAAAGGTCCAATGGTGCCTAGATGGATGGAAGTAAGTGTTGCTCGTGCTGCAACCATTAATTCTGAAGTTTGTCTGGACTCCAAACCCCTGTCAAGAAGAGAAGATTACAGAAAAGCTCAAAAACCAGGAGGGCTACAAAGCAGCTGGGTACAATGCAAGTTTTGGAAGGAGGGCCAAAGGAAAGGGTTATGGGATCTATGGCATGGATTTCAGTATCTGGTGAGAATAGTAAATGCAGGAAAGTTTCCAAAGAAAAACGACAGTCAGACACTTTCTACATAAAACTAAAGGCCAATCACTCAATTGTCATTTATGAGTTTGAAAAATTCCTAATACTTTCAGTTTGCATTATTAATCAGAAAGAGAGGAGAGAGAGGGTAGTAGAGAAAATCAACAGAATCAAAAATATTTGGTGCCAAAAGTAGATGGAAAGAGACAACATCAGATGTAAGTATTCTCTGAGACTGAGCTGTAATGCACAGACTCCCCTAAAGCTGTTAGAAGTAGATGGGCTCCCACAGCTGCATCCCTCTGGCTTCCACTAGAGAGATGCAAGTTTTTTCTCTCATTGGAGTTTCTACGGAAGGGTCATCAGGAACCAAGAATAAGAATACAGACCTGAGGGGAAAAAATGGGAAACTCAATGCTTAACAAGACAGATGCAAAGATGACAAAGGTGTTTGAGTTTGGAAGGTGGAGAGCCCACGGTTTGTGAGTGCAGGAAGGAGAGAGATTAACCTGGCTGCAGCAGGTAGAGGGGTTTCCTGAGGGATGTGTTCAATATGGCACTGCTCTTCGGACAGATGGAAGGGGGCTTATCTAGTCCAGAAAAGGAGAAATTCATTTGACAAACATACTGATACACATTATTTCACTATTCTTAATCTATGCAGGATCTAGGCTATTAAGGAAAATTAAAACCTAAATACAATTCCAGCCATAGCTTAGGCTACTTGTCTTTAGTAGAAAAGATACTTAATTTCCTGGTTCAGATTTCATCGACTTTTTCTCTTAAAAGCTTGGAATAGTCAACTGTCAGAAATACTACACGCTTGTTAATTATGGTGATGAAATAATCTTTTCGCTTCTCAGTAATGACGTGAGATAATTTTGTTAATTTTGATAACAGATTCCTACTGACTTGGAATCTTTATCATAAGGCTGAGGCAACCGACTGCAATCTACTTTCTAAGGATCATTACTGTGTCAGTTCGAGGCAATTCAGCTCTTGTTTGAAATGCATAGCATACATGTGTAATTTAATATTTTATTTCAAACAGCCTTTTCATTATCCATCAAGCTGTTTTTCTTGCTTAAGCACTAAATGTACTTATAAAATTTAAGATACTGACATGGATATATTTTTCATTGTCTGTTCAGTTATAAATTGTCATAATTATTATATATAAAATAAAAAATATTTTTCAGAAATGAGCTTTCTAAATAAAATAATCTGCCCATAGACTCCCTATGAAACATGTTCTCAGATTTCCTTGTAATATTAATCTCGCAGAGGGAATTTGGATATTCTTACGATAAAAAATAGCAAATCTACAGTGACAGCTAAGTGGTGATTTTCTTTAAATCCTTTCTAGCTGATCTGATTTTAGAAGACTCTGAAGCACGTTTCCAATTTTAAATATCTTAATGTATCACAGCCACTCCAAATGTGTCTGTGAATACACAGAAGTAGGATTCATGCAGAAACAAAACAGAGACATCCACGCAGTATTCCCATCTCTGGCACCACATATGAAGGGGACTAGGGTAAGTCACATCACGTCCTGATGCCTCAGTTGCCCCATCAGTAAAGCAGTCCATGCTGATAACATCCTTTGAAATCTTTGATTGAAAGAGTACATAAAAAGAAAAAGAATTTTAAGAGAGTTTTGTTTTTTTTTTTTTAAGATCTTTACTTAAATGAGCATAATTCCAGGTTCAGACCTAGAATTTGCAGTGAAACAGAGAGGCTGAGATCTTAATGAATGACTCACATGTGTTCACCATATACTGCCTACAGATACATTTGGGTGTTCCAGAAGCACATACCGTTTTTCTGCCTTTTTTTTTCTTTTTTTTCTTCATTTTTGGAAACACAGGTGCCATTTATAGGTATGTACAAATATATGCATTCACACCCCATTTATATCTTCAGAGTAAAAGTCTCAATTACTCAACATTTGCCACACCCTTGCAGCAAATTATCTTCTATTTCAATATTGGAGATACTACAGTTACCACAAGCTCCTGAATTTTGGATGTAGCATTCTTAAAGCACCTACTGCCCACACAGCAAAGTATGTATCTGACATGAAATACATGCATTTATCCTTATACACACATACTCACAAAGACTACTGCCTCACAATGTCAAGGAGGCTGTATATAACTGGTAAGTACAATTAAATTATTATAATTTACACAAATAACAAGTAGTGGAGAATAGACTTCAGTACAATACCTAACTATGCAGTCACAACAGGAAAGCTCAGATACTTCTCACTGATTTCTGTCTCTGTCATCCAATTATAGATAGAGACACCTAAGCCACCCCATTTCCAGCCTTTTATTCCAGTATAATTCATCATGCCATGTCTTAAAATAAACAAAATATAACACAGCATTCTAAGGTTCCCATTAATTACCAATACCCACCTTGAGATTCCCTACAGATTTACAAACAATACCTTCAGGATTATATCATCAAAAACACTTAAAGGTGCTCCATGAACTGAATAAGCATCAGTGGAACACAGTAGGTGGAACACATCCCAGAAGGTACATAAGCACTGACACATGGCTTTCACGGATTTTGTATATATGTTCTTCTTTTCGCACCATGTCCAATCAGAATTAGAGCAAGTAATTAGCGAGACTGGCTAGAGCCTCTTTAAAGTTTCCCTGTCCAAGAATACCTCAATTATTGATGTTTTGCTGAGTTTTCCATCCAGTGCTTTTGATTTCAAAACAGCAGTACAAAACAGAACCGAAAGACCTTTTTTTTGCACAAGGAGATAAAAACATACTTTAACTTTCCCCTCTTTTTTTTACTTTCCTTTTTAAATAAATCCACTGTGATGCCTAAACCCCAACTTTTAAATATCCTTTCTTTTCATGCATAACATGTTTTTTCACTCCATGGTTTAAAGTCAAGCATGTATCTGTTTGCATGCATCTATGTTTGCATCTGAAGAGACAAACCTCACTAACAAGTGACATAGAACTTTCAAATCCTTGAGTGACTAGTGTCAATAAAGAGTTATAGCACAGGCATCTTATAACGCTTCTCTGCAAAGCAGGCAGATTCTCAGCAGAGTCAGTTAAGCAGACACGAATCTATTTCAGTGCATTCTAGCAGTAAATCCTAAAGCACATTTTTAGCTTCAACAAGTCAAATTTAAAACCTGGTTGTAACTCTCCCTCTTCCTCACTGGACAGCTGAGCACAGCCAAACAGCTCCAGGTGTATCCTAACAGAGTATGTCTACATACACTCCCTCTCCCACAGCTCTGCCTTTCTCAGGTTATACAGTCGACTCTTACCTCAATGGTGTACTGTTCAAAAATCCGGAGCTGAAGGAAAATGTCTAGCTTAATCTTCCTCTCATGGAAGAGCTCTTCCATCTGTACCTGGGCCTCGTCGAGCTGCTGAAGGACGGATTCGATGTGGCTGATGGAGCTATTGTGTGGAGTCTTATTGTTGGAAACGGCTGAGTCCCTGTAGCAAGGCAGAGAGCATGGTTAAACCTGAGCTTTAAGGCAGGCAAAAGAGCAGGAACTACACATTTGTGATTCTGCATGCTGCTGAGAAGCAAACCCAAGCACAAAGGGCTGAGGGAAGGTCTATGCAACGCTCATCTCTTCTCCTCACTGAAATCCTTCAGCTCCTGAGCTCAGCACGAAGTTTGAACAAGGGGATCATCCTTTCTTGTGTCGCCTTACACACTTTGGGGGGGGCAGGGGAAGAATGAAACATCAATCTCAACGGTTCTCTTGATGAATCTGGCTGGCAATCCCCTTCAGTCCTACAGAGGATCAATCCTATGCTCGCACTGCCTCAGAGGCACCAAGTTCAGAGATGCTGTGTAGCCACCTGGACCTTTACAAGTTGATTTTCTGCATTTGCTTTATTACGTACAGACTAACTGAATCAGAATTACCAGCTTTTTAGACTAAGGGGATAGGGTTGCCTTGATTTCCTTGAGATTACATCATACAGCAATAGACGCAGAATACAGCACAAAAAACTCCACTGAAGGAAAACACCTTTCAACCATTAAGACAGACAGACTTGTCCTTCCAATAGGTAAGTGAAATGAGACATGCTTGTGAGAGGTCAGATACTGCTCCATCTGCACCTTCCATAAACAGGCAGCAGAAGGGAGCAAGCCCTTTAACAAGGTTTGCTGTACCTGAATAAGTCTTAGCATGGACATAAGACAATCCCTGACAGTTTATTTTCTACTTGTGCTCTGACATTTATTAACAAGCTCACCTACAGTCTGTTACAACTTCAGTAATATTTTTTCAGTGTGTGTTTTATGGGTAAAGAGCCTTTGCGGACATGAAGAGCCGAAATTTATAGAATCATAGAATGGTTAGGGCTGGAAAGGACCTTAAAGATCATCTAGTTCCCACCCCCCTGCTATGGGCAGGGACACCTCAAATGTGCCACAGAAGGTCCTCAAACTTTAACAAGAACCAGAAAGGAACCTCTGAAGCCATAATTTCATCTTGCCTTTGGTACTTCAGCTAAAACAAGACTTAGATGCAATGGTTTTCTCTGTCCATCCTGCTCAAAAGCGTATGATAGCAGCTGCATTATTCGGCATACTCGAACCAAACCAACTGAAAGCCCTATCAAACACACTGTTGGAAAGACCTGTGCAGTGGCAGTATAACAGGATGAAGCAGGCAATCCATCAGGTTTTACCACCAGTATTTCCTATCAATCTACTGTTCTGCCTTGGAATAAGTAGGGGGGACAACTACCAATCCAACAGCACGTACTGGACTACTGGTGCACCAACAAACACCTGCACGTGCAGGGAACCAGCTGACAATATTGGAAACAAGCAAAATATTGGGTAATGCTGACAGGTCACCACACTGTCCCACGGGGACCAAATGTTGCTGGGAGCCATTCTTCTGGCCAGCTAACCTGGGCTGCTGAATAGAGGTTCCTGCAGAGTCTCCCCACTGTGGAAGAGTGCTAGTGTGTTCTCAACTTTCAGGTTTTTATTTCCCTTTCCTGGGCTGAATTTTCTGCCCACAAACATCTAGCAAAGTACGGGTAGTTTTCTACTGAACTTGACTGAAATGCTTGTGCTTTGGTCTTTTCAAATTATCACCATGTATGGTGAGATCAAAACAGTGTACAGTCAACTTAAACTTTAATTGAACACTGTCAGTGAGCATAATTGACAAATAAAACTATAACCTTGTCCAGATGCCTTAAATTGAAACTAGGCACTGACACACAGAGTCATTTTAGGTAAGTTTAAAACACACCTTTGAGGTTCTAAGACAACAAAACACATTATTCTGTTTTCATTATGTGTCTTTAAGGAACAGAAAAAGCATTTGCCTGGATATCTGAAGCCTAAGAATAAAATTAAAAATACAGAATACTATTAACTGCTAAACAGTTTGCTCTTTGGATGTATTTCACCTCTTTTTTTCCTCAAATAATTTATGTTCTATACACTGAACTTCAGATGCTCCAGCATCTCCAGTACTACCAACTTCCCTTGCCTATAAGGGAATGTTACACCAATATTACTCTCTCCAGGTGAGACAGTTTCTGCCCCACTCTGTCAGTCTTGTGTTTTCACCTTCTTGGTGACCACAAGGTCTCTCTCTGCCTCCACATTCAAGCTGTACTGAGGAAGGATGAATGAAAATAACAAGGTGAGATTTTGAAACTACAGCTTAATCTGAGGCCACATTCAATCAAGTTCTGTTTCCTTCAGTCAGCATCTGTCTTCTATAAAAGGACATGAAATATGTCTACATTCAAATGCAGGATTATTACCACTAATATATTATCTAAATGACTCAATGAATTATTCAAGACTGATCTTGAATAATCTCTCATGGGATCTAAAGACACACTTGATTTTAGAAATTTTTTTCATTAAACATTTCACTCTTCAAATCAAGCCACACTTGCATTTCAGATGCAACACAAAAAAATTAATTGTAACACTCTAGTACTTTTTCACAGTCTTCTCAGATAATGCCTTGACAATCTCTATACTGTCTCATTTGAGAAGAAATTTCTGAGATTGGATGCTTCTGCCACAGGATTTCTTGCTCAGTCTGGTGATGAGAAATTCTGGGACAGAATTCATGAAAATCCTTAGTATTCTCTGAAAGGTTATGAATTAGAGTTATAAAATGCAGGGAAGTTATTGAAAAAAGAAATACAAGAAAAACTTTGGGGAACATAAAACTGGACTTAGTGCTTTGCTGTTGAGTTTGTTCAGAATGAACACTATGCTCCTGAAACCACTTCCAGTTGCAGAAAGCTTAGTGAAACATACTCATCAAAAGTTAATATACTGAACTAGTGTAAAGAAAGTAAGCAAGATCCATAACTCATTCACTGTCTTTATTTTGTCCCTGACATTCCTGTTCTTTCACATCTCACTGGAGCCAGTCACTGTTCCGCCTTTGCAGATGTGTAGAAATACGGTCCCCAGCATCACTCCTAGAAATGCAGTTCAAAATATTTGCTTTGAGTTGACTGCTGAGAACGATGACCGCTTCAGTAAAATACTCATCAGGAAGAGTGGAAAAAGTGTTTCCAATGCTCATCACAACATGTACAGTGTTGCTGGCCAGGTCTGTGTTATTCCTAATAGGTGTGGTCTCCTGATGCAGCCACTGAAGGCCCTGAAGACGCGTGAAGAGCAGTCCCAGGCACTGTATTTACCTAGTTCAGGCAGCTGAGCTTTTCCTAAGCTATCTGCAGGAGACACAGAGCGCTATTACACAACTGATCTTCTCTAAACCAATATCTGTCCTCTCAGAGATAAGCACAAGAAATATAAAATTTTTCAAAGCCCCATTAATTTTACTGGTTCTAACCTGTGCTATGACACGCTTGACAAAAGCAGTGTATTTCATTCTCTTCATTGTTGTAGCATTTGCAATCTTCAGCTTTTCTTCAAGGCAGGTACAAGGTGATGCACACTGTACAATGCAATGCTGTGTTAAGGAAAGATGGCAGCATTTTTAATTTTTCCTCCTTTCCTTTCTCTCTGTTTTCTTTACTTTTGCCAGCAGCCACAGAAGCTGACAGAGTGGGCACACACAGAAGTGGTTTCATGTTTTTCTCACACAGTTCTGCTTCCCTTTTTGAAAGAGTCCAGGATTGCACTGCAGGCTTTAGTCAGATTGCTCAAAACCAACACTTGAATCAGAGATCGTCTTGACAGTTCAGCTCTGCAAATGTTTGTGTGAGTCCAGGGCTTCTGTCCTTCCAACAGCAGTTCTCTCTGTGTTCGGTCTTAACTTTATCAGAAGCAGGAGATCACTTTGCACAAACATGTTCACCCTGTTACACCTTACTCACTGCCCAGAATACAAACCAGACTCCAGAACCATTTATTTGTCAAATACAGCTGCCACAAAACCCCTCTTGGCATTTCACAAATGTTTAGGCATGACACCAGTTCCAAAGAAAGTCTCAAACCTATGGCCGCCTTTACTTTTCAAAGACTGAAAAAAAAAAGTTTACACTAAAAAAAGCTGAAATTCCACACACCATCTTCCACCTCATCTCTTCTCCTGCATGTCCTTGCAGCCACTATACCAGTGGGCCTTCTCCAATAGCTGCTATTCATACTGATGCTCCACTGACTTCTCACTCAGCTCCAAATATTGCCCTGGCCACTCTCCAACCCCACATGCTGCTTTCATACTAACTCAGGTGCAGCAAAAAGCCTTCAGGCCAATCCCACAGCCTCCACCAGGACTCCTTCAATACAGACGGTTTCTGCAACCCCAGAAACCACCCCACACTCCACCAGATGTGCCTACACAAGGTCCCTTTCAGGCTCCTCTCCAGGGGTGTTCACGCTGAAATGATGTTATGCCAACAGGTGAGATGAAAAACAAAAAAAGTCTTTAGTCCAGAATTTCACTGCCATTTTTGTGATGTCAAAATGTTTATTTGCATAAAGGGAAACTGCCATGCACACCTTTGACTGACCTGTTCTAGCTGGCCATACATACATTCTTATCCAAAACCCTGTCCTTCTGGCACCTCATTTACCAAACACAGCATGTTTCCTTCCTACTTATCTCATCAGCAAAGATGAATGGAGGGATGGAGCCTAGTTATGTCCACTCCCAATCCTTCCTTTCCAACTCTGGTCTCAGCAAGCAATACCACAGCTTGGGCCCTTAGCTCACACCTGTGATACAGGCACACCACATACTGCACGACTAAGCATTTACACAGGCTCTCTCTCCTGTGTGGCTGCCTAGGGCTGAATTACAATCAAAACCTAGAGAAGCCCCTATCAAACATCTCTCCTTTTATTTTTTTTTTTTTTCCCTGAGTCAGGGAAGAAGACTCCACGTCCAGGGCAACAGGAAAAAATATAGAGGAAACCTCAGCAAAGCTCAGCAAGTGGCTGTAATAGAAGACTCATGAACTCCAGAGGACTTTTAAGGGCAGGGTTCCAGCATGGTGCTTCATTATCTATTCTGCTCTGGAGCACCCTAGGCTTTCCATGTCATGGCTCACGATTTCCTGCACTTCTCACGTGAGAACTGGAGGCATCAGATTAGGACAGCTCAGGGTGCGGAGGATGACATAACTCTCTGGGACAATCTCTGGTGAAATGCATAAGACCTGGGAAATTTGTATATTACATATGTATACAGAATGTACACACTACATAAATGTAGACAAGGGCAATCTGTTACAATAAAAAGATCCAAAGAATAAGTGATATATTGGTCTTGGTTTCCAGCTCAATACCATCACTAGAAGGCAGGAAAACTCCATTGCTGTCAAAAAAGTTAAAGCCACAGAAAACCACTGTAAATAAGAACAAATGAGAGAGATCTCACATTTACAAGTTTTGTGGAAGTTTACTCTGCAAACATTTCCTCTATTACACTTACAGACTGAGAAAGCAAAAAGACCCTAACTCATTTGAGCCAGCCTCTTCACAGATTTTAAATCAGCTAAAATAAGCTGTTTTAATTTGTAATGCAAGTAGAACTAGCAGTGTAAGACCCTCTGACAGCATGAATAAACCCCACATGGGCAAAGATAAAAAGAAGGGTGCTGTAAGCAAAATTAAAGAGTGAAGATTTTTAGATGTGTATATTTTATTAAGAAGAATACACTACATCAGGAGTAAACACATAAATCATGAGGCCTCAGCTCACAACCATTTAACAATCTATAAATATGAACTAAAAATATTCACCTTAAACACATTTGTTTCAATTCACTTCACTGTGCCTATAAATAATCTCTCTGTCAAACAGGAACCCATGCTGATCCACAGACTACTCTAATCAGTACACACAAATCACTCTGTGCAATTTCAACAAAATACTCAAAGAATTTAAAGAATCATCAATAAGCAAAGAATTAATATATTCTCCCAATTAATCTTAATTCACAGTTCCCTATTTATACACACCTAAGCCACAGCATTAATCAGATTTCTCAACACCTGTCCTGCAGGTGGATGCTTACCTGAGCTGTTGGATTAGATCTTCCCCTTCTTTAATAACATTGAGGGTAGCATCCAAGGTGGCTGTTTGTTGCTGTTGAAACTGTTTGATAAGCTCCTGAACTGCATCCACAGAGTCAGCACAGACATCCTCTAAGAGCTCCTTCTGCAGATCTTCCATCCATGTCCACAGCTGGGAAGGAGGGGAGGGAAATATAAATCAGAGAGGGATTGAGATTTAACCCTTTTGCTCTCTAATTCCAGATCAGTAAGGATTAACTAGGGCTGCATGTTTCACATGAAAACTGACCTGAAGTTTCTAAAAACAAAAAAGATGCATTGGTTATTAATCCTGGTTGATGCAATTCCATTTTAAGCAACAAAGTAAAATAAATATAGTATCAGGCAATTTTTTTCCAAAATTAATTTGCATTTCAGTTTATTATATGAGAATAACTAATTATATTATTCTGATTAACTCTTTACACAAGTGACAAATTACAATGCCCTACAGCTGTGATAACCTAACCCTTTCAGGAGCTGTGTGCTATCAGCTGCTATTAATTTTACATGCAGCTGAAGCCTGTTGCAGAACAGACCTAAAATCTTTGGTATGTATGTATGGTACTGGCTGAAGTCTAGCTGTGCCTGCTCAGCTATGCCTTCCCAGACAGAAGGTTTTGTGGAGGGTTTGGGATTTGGTTTTTTTGTTTGTTTGTTTGGGTTTTTTGTGGGTTTCTGCCACTTATCTCCCTCCTTAAAATGCACCTCAGACTCTGCTTTTTAACTTTGGGAAAATCCAAGCATAGGAGACAGTAATATCACTAATCAATCCCGTGCAGATCCCTTAATTTTAAATAGTCTTGACTACCAATTTCAAAACAACAACAAATCATTTGAGTGAGTGCTTAGCTGAAAATTTCCAGCCAGCTGTTCATCAGAGATCTGGACAGTGGCAGGCAAGCCCCAGCAGCCTCTCCTTGGCTGGTAACGGCTTAAAGCGAACTGGGGTTTCCCCTTTAAGCTTGCTCTGAAAAGTGAGTGAAAAATTGCACCAACCGAGCTGGCAATTTGCCAGCAAATCCTAATGACTCCACCAGAGAGAATATTTTCTGTGCCATGCCTGCCCCATTAACCCACATTCTGCTGGTATATTCTGCAATGTAGCAGAGAAGTAGAGGAGTGGGAAACAACACGTTGCATCCCTGCACTGGGAAATGTCAAAGGACACGGTGCTGGCAGCAGCAGGGCTGCACTTCTGCCCACTGTTCCAGGGAGCTTGTTGTGGTTTTGACCCACTCAGCTATCAGCAAAGTAATTTGTCTCAAAGGGAGCTAGAAGTACACATGAAGCAGACGACAGACGTTGTGTAGGAGTGTCAAAAGAGCTGGTAAAAATGCTTCTGTTCAGAACGAGATGCACTGGATCCCCATCCTACAGGATTTCTTCTGCATGTCCATGTAAAATGAGAGGAGGAGAGGGACGTGTTTTAAGCACCAGCTGGCAAGGCTTCTCACCATTAGGGTCCAAACCTAAGGCCATTCACTGAATGTTACACTATTCCAGCCTACTGACTTCAAGCGTTATCACCCCAATCTAAACCAATGTAATAAAAATCAGAACCTGCCCCATCACTGCTCATGATATCAGGAAAGGGAGAGCCCAGCTCCCTGTGCTCTGTCCCCACCTCCGCTACCAACTCCTTGCTTGACAGACTATAAGGCTTATAAAAATGAGTTTTAAAGCATATGATTAATTTGAAGGTTTTCAGTTAGACTGTCAGAGTCAGCCTTGAGTATTTTGGGTAAACGCCTTTGTTTATTCACAAATAGCGTAATCATAGTGGCCTACCCTACTACTGGCCTAAAATTGGATGTCTTTGCTCAGTTTATTTACATATTTTCACATTCTCAGGAGAAAGGCATGATATAAAAAGGCAAGTATTAATAAAAGAAACAAATATCATTAAGTAGCCAGGCTTGTGAAATAAATAAAAGAACAAAAACATATGTAGAGAACCAAATAGAGAACATTCTCGTATGTGGCCTGAGGTCCAGGTGCTGAACTTTGGAAAGCCACCATAAAGGAAAATGTATTAATGCCTGCATGTGTATGTTACATTTAGAATTCTCCCGGGTTTGATCTGGTCCCTGCACCCACTTGAACAGTAGGGACAGCTGTAACAGGCAAGGACCAGGTTGCTCAGGAATATTATTTTCTCTTCTTATCAGATCTTCAAGTAATAGAGCACTTTGTAAATACAGAAGAGAAAAATGGCCATGCATATAAATCATATTTCTGTTTTGAGTTGGGAAAGCCAGTAGTTTTTTAATTTCTTGCTGTTCTTCATCTGTTTCATTTTTCTACTTAAGATAACAAAAAAAAGCTCAGGAAACTTCCTTCAGGAAAATGAAAGTGAAATAGAGAACTTGCTTCATAGTTAGGAATCTCCTGTTTTCTTGAATTTATCACATTGGAAAGGACAGAGGAGAAGGTTTCTGATCCTCCACTGGGACTTCAGAGGAAAACCCTGTTTGCAAAAGTGTCTCCAGAAGCCAGCTTTCAGAGGCAGCCAAAAGGATTTGGATGTTTAAGATCTGAAGTCACTTCTAAATCAAAGCAGTTTTGACATACTTAAACATAAACTGTACTGTACTCACCTGGAACCAAAATACCAATTAATTTCAGAGAGCACTCAAATCTATTAACTCATAGAATCATAGAATCATAGAA